TCATTGAAAAATGCGATTGATGATTTTTTTGCAAAACATGCGGTTTCGTTGTCTAAGGTTCCAGGTCAAGGTTATGATGGAGCCTCTAATATGAGTTGTGGGATTAATAGTTTAAAGCAAAAAATTTTGGATGAAAATAAGAAAGCACACTATGTTCATTGTTTTGTTCACCGACTTCAATTAGTGATTGTGACATCTTTAAATAATAATAGAATGGTCGGTAGTTTTTTCGAATATCTTGTGATGATTGTGAATGTGTTGGGGCATCATGTAAAAGAAAAGACGGTCTTTTACAAAGACACTACGAAAATCTTGTTGAAGGTATAAAATGTGGTGATATTAGCACCAGAAAGGGGAAAAATCAAGAAAAAAATCTAGTTCAACCTGGTGATACTCGTTGGAGTTCTCATTTGAAAAAAAATTCAAGAGTTTTAGATATGTGAGATGCAGTGACTAAGGTGCTTGAAGTTATATTCAATTATGGAGTTGATCTCAAAAGTAAATCCACTGTTTTGAGTTTGGTTGAGAAAATGGTAACATTTGATTTTGTATTCATTGTTCATTTAATGATACAATTGTTGTAAAAAACAAATATGTTATCAAAGATTTTTCAACAAAAGAATCAAAACATAGGGAATATTTCAGTTATTGTTGAAGGTATGAAGAATGACTTAGATAACTATCGGAATAATTATGGTTGGGAGGAGTTGCTTGAAAAAGTCACTACATTTTGTCCAAAACATAATATTGGTGTGCCGAATATGAAAGATGTTCAACATGGTCGAATTAAAAGAGGGAATACAGTTGATGGTCATCAAAAGACCTATCAACGCTATTTTTATGTTGATATCTTTTTGGAGGTATATTTTTCTTCTTTGTTTGATATTAACATATATATATATTTTTTTTCTTATGAATCATTGGTTTAACTTTTATAATTATAGGTTGTTGATCGTCTTATTCAAAAGATGAATAATCGCTTTAGAGAGTCAAGTTCGGAGTTGCTTATGTGCATAGCATGCTTAAGCCCTAAAGACTCATTTTCAAATTTTGATCAAAAGTGACTACTTCGTCTTACTGAATTATATCCGAATGATTTCAGTTCAAGGGAAAAATGTGAATTGGAAGATTGTTCATTACATTTGTTAAATCATCTTCACATTTCTCGGGATTGGAAAATATTGGAGATTTGGCAAAAAAAAAAAATGGTGGCTATGGAATGACACAACTTATAGGTTAGTGTATCGACTTATTGAGTTGTCATTGATTTTACCCGTTACAACAACTACAGTTGAAAGATCATTTTCCACGATTAAATGTATTAAGAATGACTTGCAAAACAAGATAGGAGACGACTTTTTGGCAGATTGTTTAATATGTTACATTGAGAAAGAAATTTTTGTGAAAATTAAAAACGATGCTATTATGAAGCGATTTAAGAGTATGGAACATCGAAGACATAAATTGCCACTTTAATACTTCTAGTTTATGGCGTTAACTTTGTCAAATGTAAAATTATTTTATTATTTTTGTTTTATTTATTTATTAATTATTAAAAAATTTGATAGGTAGTTGCCCTCCAATATGCCAAAGTTGATTCCATCACCGAATACATGCTTATAGTAATTTGAATGAAACCTATCAATAAAATAAATGTGTCATAACATTTAATTAATTATTATATTATATTTTAACTTACCATCCTATAATATTCAATACATAGTAGAATCCCAAAACTTGAGTGTTTTATTTCACTCTCCATGAAATGCCTAAACACATTTCTTAATATAATAATTTAATTTTTATTTTTTTATAAAATAAATAATATATTCATATACAATTATTTTTAAATTTTTTATAAGTTAATTTATATTAAATTATATACTCATAGTCTCAACCCAAAAGATTTTTTTGTAATTTTATAGTAAATTAAAAAATAATAATATTTTATTAGTTAGTGGAAGTGTGTAAGATAATTTTGATATTTCAGACGGCAAATTTTATATATAAATTAATTGTATATATAATGATATATTCATAATTTATATAGAAGTTAAAATTATATTTTAGTATTAATGTATGTGTTATGAGAAAACAAGAAAGAAAGCAAATAAAGAATACAAAAGGTTGGTTCGGTGATTGTGTGTCAACCAACGTCTACGTGCATAAATTGAAGAGATTTTATTCTACTGATTCAGAGAGTTACAATCATTGTCTCACGGCTATGAACCATAGATATCTATTTATAAGCACCCTCAAAACACCCTAAACCCTAAGCCCATTTGCTATTAATTACGATGGGCCCAAAAGAAACCCTGCCAATTGAAACAGCCTTTTCGTTTTGGTTCCGAGTATGATAGACACTAAATCCAAGTCGCTTCAACAGTATGATTACTTTTACTATAATAGGAAATTGATACTTTTGAATAGAATGAACCAAAATAATAAAAATAGTACTTTCAGTTGAGCCCCAAAAAATATACAAATATCTATATTAAATAAAATATCATTGTCTGTCAAATAATATCATACTCTCTCCGCCCTATTTAACTTGTCTCTATTTTCTATTTTCGTCTGTCTCACGTGTTACGGAAATTTCCAGAAAATCAAGATGAGATAACAAGGACAAAAGAACACAAGAATTTGGTAACCCAGTTTCGATCACGATGATCTACGTCTGGGGGCTGCCAAGCCAGGAATTTTACTATAAAGTACGCAGGCACATGTTAAAGTGAGAATACATAGATATTTATAGCCTAAGCCTTTGACAATAATATCCAAATCATATCTCTAAAATCTAAAATATAATATCCAAATCATATCCCTAGATTTTAGGATATAATCAGGCTTCATATCCCAAATACATGGATATTTATAGCCTAAGCCTTTAACAATAATATCCAAATCATATCTCTAAAATCTAAAATATAATATCCAAATCATATCCCTAGATTTTAGGATATAATCAGGCTTCATATCCCAACATCACGTAATTTGTCATTTCCTTTTCTAAAATATAATTATACATTTAATCACATTTTAAATTTCATAATTTTTTTAATCTTAATTAAACTATTTAGTTATCTTAATCTATAATTATTTTACTATACAATAATTATTTTTACTAATATACTTCTTAATTACTAACTAATTATACTTTATATAAATTTTCATACCTACAATAATGCGCTCATATTACATCGGACGGACGAAGTATTAAATATATGTTTAATTAATTATATATTATATTACTCCCTCTGTCCCGGATACCGTGTCACCTTTACTGTAGATATGAAAATTTAGGAGGGTATAATTAGTAAATAATTAAAAATATATTAGTGAAAATACTTATCGTATAATACAAGTAATTTTATATTAAAATTAAGATAACTAATTAGTCTAATTAAAATTAAAAATATTATAAATTAAAAATTTTAAAATGAGATTAAAATGTATAATTTTTTTCCAAAAGAAAAAATGTTAGAATAAATGAGATAAATAAAAATAAAAAATTGACATGATAAATGGAACGAAGAGAGTATAATTTAACTTACCATCATAAATTTTCCATTCTTTAAGTAATAGAATTCCAAATCTAGAACGTTTTATTACATCTCCCATAAAACAACAAAAAACATATTTATTAGAATAAAAATTTTATATTTATCTTTTTTTTAAAAAAAAGAAAGATAAATATATATATATGCATTTTATTTTTTTATAAAATAATCTATATTAAATTATACATATAAAATTATCTAAATTAAATAAAATATAATTGTCTATAAAATAACATTACTTTAAATACTTCATTCGTCCGTCTCTAAGGGTCACATTTACCTTTTGCATCATTGTACTTAACATTAAAAATATTTTTGTATTTGTATAATTTTTTTGTACAAATGTCATTCTATTAGTATTATAAGACACTAATAGAAATATATTTGCAATTTTTTTCTTAATTTATACTATATTTTGATATAATAATTAATATTCAAATATCAATACGTAAAAAAATAAATAAAACTTTAAAACCGATTGGAGGTAGTATATCTTTAATTACTTATTTACTCCTTTGGTCCTACAAAACAAACGGGTTTGTGTTGATCACCAAATTTAAAAAAAACTTGATATTATTTTTAAATTGATAGAAAGTATAAATGATTTTTTTTCTTGTTCATGTGAATTTAATAATGTAAAAAAATAGTAATACTAACATAATAATAATAAATAGATATAGTTTTATAATAATATAATTATTTATAAAAATAAAATTATTATTTTAAAACTGATTAAAAAAAATAGTAAAACAATACCATTAAATTAGAACCTAGAGAATAGTATATTATTACGTACCATCAAATAATATTCCATTCGTAGACAGTAGGATCTCAACACTTTAAAGGTTGTGTTCCTTTGTGAATTTTACAGTAAATTTTTACATATTATTTTTTTAAAAAAAATATCACATCAACAATTATTTTCTTATATGTATATTATATTATAAATTTATTTTATATTTAAAATTATCACATCAATATATATTTATATCACATCAAAAAAAATTATTTAAATTCAACTTTTTACTATTAAAAAATTCATAACTCAAAATCCCAAACCCACAAACAAACACACTCTAAACGTTTTATTACACCTTCGATAAAACAACCAAACACACCGTCTACATAATATATTGGGCAAGTGTCCTTAAATTAATGACCCGGATGGAGACATATTTGAAAGGGAAATGACTAATTTGGTAGATAGTCAGTCACGTTAGTCACATGGCTACGACGTTTTTCCGCACGTGTCAACGGGCTGAGGATCTCTCTTGTGTAAAATAATTTAACCAAAATTTCCACGTCACTCTGACAATGACGATAAAAGTATAAATTACACCCTTTCGTGCCAATGGGACCTCGGGGTCCCGGTGTACAACACCAGGCGCGGAGGATCCCGCGGTCTGCGTCACGCTATAAATACCCTGCACAGTGAATCTCGGGGGGCTTTCACCTGCGGCGGCGGTTTAGTTATTACTCCATTGGAGTGAGATAGTTCTTAGGCTCCGCATTAACGTCCAAAATTCCGATGATGATGCGCAGAGTCATCTCAAGGGCGGCGATTTCGTTCAAGCCCTCGCGATTCCATCGTTCGCAGTCGTCTCTCTCGCGAACCCTCGCCGATGAGGAACCTGTTCTCCCCCAAATGCCGCCGTTCGATTACACTCCGCCGCCGTACACCGGCCCCACCGCGGAAGAGATACTCAGCAAAAGGCATAAGTTCCTCAGCCCCGCTGTCTTCCATTTCTTCAACAAACCGGTAAAGATTTGCGTGTTCGATTTTTTTTTTTTTTGTGAGATTGCGCCGACGGATTTGTTGATTTTTGATTTTCGTGCAGTTGAATTTGGTGGACGGAAAGATGCAGTACTTGTTCGATGAGAACGGTCGGAGATATCTGGATGCGTTTGGGGGAATAGCCACCGTTGGATGCGGGCACTGCCATCCCGACGTGGTGGATGCTATCGTTAATCAAACCAAACGTCTGCAGCACTCCACTATTTTATACCTGAATCCTGCCATCGCCGAATTTGCCGAGGCTTTGGCCTCTAAATTCCCCGGCGACCTCAAGGTCTATTTAATTTGCTGCAATCTATTTGGAAATAGAGACGATTCTGTGTGAACTCGTTGATAATTTCTGCATTCGTTGTCTATTCATTCACTTCTTTGTTGTTCGAAGTGTGAAAAGTTTTGATTGATTGGTTGGGAACTGAGGCAAGGCAAGTTAACACGATCTACTTGGTTGTTCTGTTTTTGTTTTTTCAGGTTGTTTTCTTTACAAATTCGGGGACTGAGGCAAATGAGCTTGCTTTGATGATGGCCAGATTGTACACCGGCTGCCATGATGTGATTTCGATTAGGAATGGATATCATGGCAATGCTGCTGGGACAATGGGAGTCACTTCTCAAAGCAACTACAAATTCAATGTAGTCCAGGTAACACATTGATTGCATTATTCAAACCCTTAGTTTGATTGAGCATCAAATGTTGTAAATTGGCTAATAAGAATTGAAATTATGAAGCATTGCTGCTCTAATGTAGACATGAATGTCCAATTTGGTGTTTATTCAGAGAGATTGGTTTTTGTGGACTGCCTGATTTAAAGGATTGTTTTCTTGGACATTTGATCTTGTATTTCCTACTAACTGAAATCATGTTGGAGTCGAAGATGTTTGTCTATGAAAATGGAGGATGTGTTTGTTAGGATCACAACTGTTTGAAAGTTATTTACATAGTAAACTGTACATTTACCAGACCGGAGTACACCACGCCCAGAATCCTGATCAATACAGAGGAGTTTTCGGGTCGGATGGGCTCAAGTATGCAAGAGATGTTAGTGACATTATAACATACGGCACATCTGGTCGTGTTGCTGCCTTCATTGCTGAAGCCATCCAGGTAATTATTCGATAAAAGTTTGTCCTGTGAAATTCGAATCCTGATGGTTTCTAGATTTAGATTTTTCCATTTTCTTTCTGCTGCTTCTTCCCCAATGTGTTGTGATCTCCGAATGAAATCATTACAGGGAGTTGGTGGGATTATGGAGTTGGCCCCGGGATATCTTCCAGCAGTGTACGATGCGGTTAGAAATGCCGGTGGCCTTTGCATAGCAGATGAGGTCCAATCAGGGCTAGCCCGTACGGGCAGCCACTTTTGGGGATTCGAGGCCCATGGAGTTGTGCCGGATATCGTAACCATGGCTAAGGTTGTCTTGGAACTATTGCTTAATAGATTCTTTGTTATGTAATAGCAAGGTGATATATTGGATCTGATCTGCTGTCTTCAGGCCATCGGGAATGGAGTGCCGCTTGGTGCAGTGGTGACTACTCCTGGTATTGCCAAAGTCCTGACTCAACGAAACTATTTCAACACCTTTGGTGGGAACCCGATGTGCACGGCAGCAGGACTCGCCGTTCTCAAAGTAATCGAAAAGGAAAACCTTCAAAGCAACGCCCTGGTCGTGGGATCGTATTTGAAGGAGCGACTTGCATCCATGATGGGCAAATACGAGCGTACGTTTATGCATGACTACTACTACTCCTCCAACTGTCGTGAATTCTTGTGAGTTAATGATAATATTTTGCATGGCATGGCAGTTATTGGAGATGTTCGAGGCAGAGGCCTAATGCTGGGGGTGGAATTTGTGACGGATCGCGGGATGAAAACACCGGCCAAAGCTGAAACTGTTTGTGTCATGGAGAAGATGAAAGGTAATCAATACTCTCTTTATGGTGTCTTTGATGCTCATGACACTACTATTACGAGTCGTAATTTACAACAACTTTGTAGTAAAATTGTAATGTGAACGGGTGCAGAGATGGGCGTGCTGATCGGGAAAGGCGGCTTCTTTGGCAACGTACTCAGGATCACTCCGCCCCTCTGTTTCACCAAGCCTGACGCCGGTAAGTTCCTCTCTCTCTCTCTCTCTATATATATATATACACATATATATCTGTACATACAGAATGTGTTTGAGGATGAGATTGCATATATAATCATAATAATAATAATAATAATAATGCAGATTTTCTGGCGGACGCTCTGGACTACACATTGTCGAACATGTGAAGTGTGATTGTTTTGTTGTGCAAATAATGAATGAATGTGTTGGGAATAAAGTGTTGACTTGGCTGAGAAGATGAGACATCACCTCGTTGTCTCTCTCTCTCTCACTCCTCCTAGACCATGATCTATATTATACTATATTTTAAATTATAATGGAGCAAAATTCATTTATAGATGCATTCAATTATTTTTTAATCAATTTTCATCGATTTTCATTTTTTCTATATGTAACGTGAGAATCTACGGTCACTATTCGAAAATGTGCACTCCGGTCGAATCTAATACTCTGCAAAGCCCGACTGGACAAACCCTAGAAGTATCTGGATTTGAACCCATAAAGTTCAGTCACCGCACCAACAGCAGGACCTGCATCTAAAAAGTTTATTAGTTGTCATTAAAATTGGTTCCAAATTTTTTATTAATAAATGTACATTTAAATAAAGTATAATTTATACAAAAGAAGGAACTTACAAAAAGATTCTGGCCCAAGTACAAAAAGATCTAAAAGGCCATAGATCGGCCCAATAAGGCCCGCATGAGCCCAACATAACATTGTAAAAGGAAGCCCAATGCTTCGGCCCAATACATCTAGCTCAGAAAACTCTATGACACAAAAATAGGCCAAAGCAAAATATTTCCAGCCCAATACTTCTAGAGCTCTCTAAAAACCCAACATCATAGCCCAAAACATATACACATTCTGCTATTGTAATAATCTGTCATCTGCACTCAATGGGACAACGAGCTCACCAAACAACCATACTTCAAAAGCTAAAATATACGTCACGTGAGGGATGACCTCGCGGGGAAGTGAACTTTTGACCGTGAAGTCATGTGTTTAAATCCCTAACGCCTCAGGTCATATGCCATATATGATTTGCCTAGTATGCACTTTTGAGTAATGACTGCAGTTCTCTCGTAAATATATACATACATATATACACAAAAGCCAAAATATGCAATTGAACAGAACTACCACGAACCTGTATTATAACTTGAAACCTTCAAAATTCAAATGCACCATAGTGGTGCGAGAGCACTGTTCCATCATCTTCCTCCATCCAGCAAACAAACGGGGCTGAAGGAGGGAGTTATAACAAATTAGCTGTATACAAGAATTGATCATTTTGTATCTACAAAATCAAATTCAATTTGTGTAATAAAATAGATATTAATTAATTTTTGGCACAAATAATTATTGTATTTATACATATAGTTTATATAATTATTTTTAATAATACTCTCTTCATCCCGCCAAATTAGTCAAGTATTTTCTTTATTTTTTTATTTTTTGACTTTTTGATCTTTCCACTAAATTAGTCATGTTTCGTAACGAAGTAATGTTTCCTAATAAGGTAATCATTAACATATGATAATTTAAATTATGAAGTTAACTATATTTTATTAAATTATTAATACTTTTTCTTTTTTTGTTTGATCATAATTAAATTTTAAAATGTAATGTAATATAAATAAGTATTGATATGATATTTTTAAATACTCTCTCTGTTCCAAAACTATCGTCTGGGCTGTGTTTGGCACGAGATTTAAGGAATATTAATATTATATTGACAGTGGGTAAAAAGTATGAGTAAAAGACTTTTTTGCCCTTGTGAGCGTATTAGTATAAAAAATAGTGGCAATTGTGTAATAATAATGAAAATGTAAGGATAATTTTATAGTAATATGATTATTTATGGAAATGAGACTATTGCTTTTGGACGGATAAAAATGGTAAACAAGATTATTGTATTGGGACGGAGGGAGTATTTATTAATTTTTAATATGTAGTATAAAAAAAAGTAAAAACATATTTTCTCCGTCCTGGTCTAAAGGGGCCCTATGAGACTCTAGTAAATTAAGAAATAATAGTATTTTACTTACTCCATCCGAAAACAATAGGACATTCGAGATTGACACAAGAATTAAGGAATAATAGTATTATATTGATAGTTGGTGTAAAAGTGTTTCTAAAAGACAAAAATACCCTTACTTTATGTAATTACTATGAAAAAGTGGGGATAATTTTGTAAAAATGTTGAAAGTTAATTACCAAAAATAAAAATGAGACTATTGTTTTAAGGGGTGTTTGACAAATAGTTTTTTGAAGAGCTTTTAGGGTTTAGGGTTTAGGTTTATTGAACAGCTTTTAGCTGTTTGACCAGTAAAAAAGCTAATTTAGGTGTTTGGTAAATTAGATTTTTGGACCCAAAAAGCTAATTTCTGAAAAGCTAATTTACCCAGCGTTTTAAAATAGTTTTTTCTGTAAAAAAAAATTTTATTCCTTATATGCCCTTAAAAATTTATTATGCATTTTACACAAATAAATACATGTTGATTATTTATTAATTATATTAGAATATTTTATTATATTATAGTTTTACTTTTATAAATTTTTAATAATTAATTTTTATATAAAAATTATTTTAATGGTAAAATATATAAATTTATTAAAATCAACATAAAATAGAAAATATAAATATTAATAATTTATTTTTATATTAAAATTATATTATATAAATTTTATACTAAAAATAAATTAAATAAATTAAATTTATTAAAAATTATAAATATAATGAACTAATCGATAACTAACATAATAAATATATATACGAAAAATTTATTATTTTATATTTTACAGCATTTTCAATAGAAAAAACTATTTATATATTTTAATAAAAATATATGATTTTTTAAATTTAACTGTAATAAAAATAAATACTTATATAACACTTTTACAATTTTCAATAACTAATAACAAAAAATTTTAAACATTCTAAACTCAAAAGAATATAATTGAATATATTAGAAACAAAAATAAAATAGAAATGTCCTCAATTGTCATTTTACGTATAAACAACTAATATCAAACAGCTGTTTTACTAAATATTTTAATACAAACAGCTAATCGAATCAGCTAATTGAATCAGCTAACCGCTATCAGCTAATTGAATCAGCTAACAGCTAACAACTATCAGCTAATTGCCAAACACGCCCTTAGAGCAAATGAAAATGACAAAACGAGACTATTGTTTGACGGAGGGAGTATTAGTTACTGAAAATGTGTAAGAAATTTTGACTTTTTGCCCTTTGACTTTATATAAAAAGTAATTGTATGTGTAATTGTATGTTTATAATTTAGATAAAAGTTGAGGGTATTTTGATATTTATGCATGATTACTTTTATTAAAATATGAAATAGGTACTTTGGAGTGAAACATATGAAAATGGTAAAAATAGTACTTTGAATTGGGACATATGAAGTATTGTTTTGTATTTTTAATTTGAAATATTTTTTATATTAATTATGAGAAGCGTGTTGACAATATAAAAAATAATTTTTTTGTTAAATTCTAAAATTTGTATAAGCTTGTAGAATATATATTGTATTGGTGTGTGTATAATGTACTTTTTTTAATAATATTAATCGTAGAACTTATCTAAAAAAAATTATTGGGGGTATTTGATTTAATATTTTGAACTGGGGAATCATAGGATATGAATTTATAATTTATTTCTTAGAAAAAAAAAAAAAAAAAAAAACACACACACACACACAAATGTTACGAGTGTGTTTACTTGTGAGATTTTGATTTTGAAATTTTATTTTGAATAGTAAAAATTTTAACTAAAATAGGTGTTTCATGTGATATAAAACAAATTTCATATTTTTATATTTTATATAATGTTAAATAATTTTACATTAAAATACTTCATCAATACATATTTATCTAACATCAATAATTATTCAAATTATTTTTTTTAATATTTAAAATTTATACCTCCAACCAAACCCGCCGTTATTTTATTCACAAAATTTTATTCCAAAAAAATATCAAATCAAACTCATATTTTATATTTTTATATTGGGGTATTCCTAATTTATATCCTTATATTTGACCATCTTTTCAAATTATGTCCCTCTAATATAATTTTGTAAAATATATTCTTAATTTTTACTAATCAACATCAAATATAATATAATTATCAATTGGAAAATAATTAGTGAATAGTTATGAGTTCTCATCTCTCTTTATTAATGTTTCTCTCTCTCTTTTTTTTTTTTTATTATATAGTATATATTTATTTAAGTTATTATTATTATTATTAGTATATAATATATTTTGTGTATAATATAAAAATATTTTTTAAAAATAATATATATTAATTATAATTTTATAAAAATACTATCATTTTAAAATAATTCAATACATTAATCTCATTTTGGTAAATTGATTTAATTTTATATTATATCATACAATTATTCAAATTCGAAATTTTACTATTTAAATCAAAATCAAAAACAAAATTTCTAACCAAGCACAATTTTTTTTTTTTATCGAATATATTAAATACAATTTTTTATTTTTATATCATCAATGAATATCGGTTACTATAATTATTATAATTTAAAACTTTAATCCAACTTTATGATAATGTCAATTTAAAAAAAATTTAAATCTAAAAAATTCTTCACATTTCAAATATATTTCTAAAAACAACTAAGTATACCTTTATATTTGAATTTTCTATTTGCTTTTTAGATATGTATTTGAATATTTGGTTGTGTTATAGGGAAATTATGATAATTATAATAACGGATATTAATTGATTATGTAAAAATAAAATTTATATTTAATACATTTGATTAAAAAAAATTGGGTATTTGTTTGTGGTTTTGATTTTCAATTTTCATTTGAATGTAAATTTTTTAATTTAAATAATTCTGTAATATGATATAAATAAGAATTGATGTGATATTTGAAATATAAAATTAGTTTTTAATGTAATATAAAAGGTAAATTAAGTGTGTGATTTATATTTTTTGGGAAGAAATTTTTCATGAACAGTAAAAATTAAATAAAATCACTTAAATAATATTTATATATTTAAATATTTTAAAAACTATTTATTTATAAATTAATATAAATTATTTTATAAAAAAATTCTAATAACATATAAAAAATATAATTACTATATACTATTACTATAAATTACAGAATAATAATAATAATAATAATAATAATAATAATAATAATAACTTTAATATATATATAATAAGAAAAAGAAAAAAAGAGAAACATTAACGAAGAGAAAGGAGAGAGAAAATCATTACACTTCGCTAATTACTTTCACATTTATAATTACACTATATTTGATATTTTTTACAA